ACCCCCCACTTGTGAATAATTTCACGAAAGCCAATAATGGGGCTCGAATTATAATACAAATGGCGGGAACTCTTTGCAAAGTGCATTTCTGTGCTGCAAAGAAGAAATGCACACTGCAAAGAAAGCTACAAATTGGCGGGAAAATAATTCAGTGGTGCCAAAGCACACACAAAACAAAAATCACACCCTTGGGTTGTGACAGGTCCCTTGCAGTTGGGAGCCCCTGGGCTGCAAGTGGTTCCTGCTTCCTGTAGTCTCTGATTGGAAGAGTCGGGGAGTGCAGGGTGCCACTGAGCTGGGGCGCCAGTCCATGAAGCAGATCTCTCCTGGTGCTGGGCGCTGTTGTGGCTCTATGCTGTGCAGCAAGCTCTGGGCATGCCCTCAGGTGTCCCCTCTGCATGGGACTAGAGTCAGTCTCCCTCTTGCCTGCTCTCCTCATGAATCCTGCCCTCTGGGGCTGCACAGCAGCCCAGACCCAAGTGCAGGTGGGGTAGGGGTGGTTAGACAGTGCCCTGCCCTGGGAAAAACCAGGAGATATGCTAGGATCTCCTCTGGCTGCGGACAGCCTAGAGCCCGTGTCAATTCCTGGAGGAGTGCTCCAACCACAAGGCTATTTTACAACAGGTGGGTGCCATCACACACTGAGCACTGGACCAATGAGTCTGTCAAGCAGCAAATCAGTCTAGAAATTGGAACCTATGAACCGTTGTGGGAGGCTGCGCAAGGAAGGAAGCTGCAGTGGTTTGGACATATCACGAGTAGGCTGGACACCCTTGGCAACGCTATCATGCAGGGCGCTGTAGAGGGGAAGAGAAAAAGAGTTAGATCCAAGAAGAGCTGGAGAACCAAGATCGAGGACTGGACATGGCTTCAACTGGCAGAATATACAAAGCTAGCCAAGCACCAGGAGGAGTGGAGGAGAGTTGTTACAGTATCTAAGGTGCTCCCATGGTCGCAGTGGTCCTCAGGACTGACTTGATTTGACTTGGATGCCATCACCCCAGAATGGCAGGGACTGTATGTGCTTGTCAGAAGCCTGTAGTAAGCCCAGGAGCCAAAGAAGCTTTTTAGGTCACAGTTGGGGGGAGAAGGGGTGCTGTTGTGGTGGCTGTTGGAGTGCGGTCAATCTGGATTGTGTTTTGTGACTTGGGCACCTGCCTAAGGCCTGTGCAGGTTTGGACAAAACAATTTGGACCTGGCCAAGGAGGCTGGCCCCCTTTGGCTCTTTGCTGCTGTGTAGTCCACAGGCATTCTGGGGGACACGGGATAGCTGCAGAATCCTAGAGCCAGTGGCAATGCGTAGGGGATGCACGGGGGTGCACGTGCACCCCCTGAGCGTGCCAATGTACCCCCTGACCAGCTGCACTTGCCACTTAGGCAATGTGCTGGGGGGGGCAGGCGGGAGCGCTGGTACCCCCCCTGCAAGTGCTGCCCGAGGAGTAGAGTGCCATGGCGCTCCCAGAAGTGACTGCAACAATCGGCCATGCGGGGACCCTCTCCCCGCCCTGGTCGCTAACTGGTCATTGGGGGGGGGGTATGTGCCCCCCGCCCCCCACCAACTAAGGCGGCACCAGTCACCCATGCCTAGAGCAGCGGGGCTGGAACAGACCTCCCGAGGGTACAACTAGTCCAATCCCTGCCTGAGGAAGGATCAGCCATGTCCAAACTATCCTGTACAAATCCATCATCTAAACTCCTGGTAAAATTACTGTCAACCCTGTCACAACGCCAGACATAACACCTGAGTCTGCCACAGGTAAAGCAGGGGCACCACACTGCTTCTGTAAAAGGTTGTCTTTTTGACACATGCTGACATCCCTCAGT